AAACTTAGTTTATATTATATTCCAAACACACAAGACATGAGTGAAATTCTGTCATATTTTCAGTTGTGTTTTGTTATATAACCGCATAAACAGTAAATTAAATATACGGATCTCTCTCTCTCTCTCTCTCTCTCTCCCATAATATTCTGTAATTCTTTTTGGATTTCTACATTATATTACGATAGAATGACTTAACGAGTTTCCATTGTTTTCATTGTAGTATATGATGTATACTTACTTATATGTGTTTAACGGTTAGTCTGAAGTTTGAATTGAATTTATTATTTTCATTGAAAACGTGGAGAAGATGTTTTTGTGTGGCTGTATGTTATATAAGCCAACACTACTGTACAATTGAATGCAGTTGTGGATAGTTTGAGACTACAGTAACTCGTAAGCTGTAGTGGATGTGCTCTATCACAATGTGTTCACTATTGTGTATACAATTGTCATTTAATGTATGACAAGAGACAACATTAAATACAATCCATACAAACACTAATTGTGACGCTTAAAGAAAATCATATTTTCTCGCTATTTTTGTTTGCCATTTTATGATTACTTTCGGTAGTTATTCACTAATTTCTATCATTTTTTATCTCAGTTATCCAAACAATGATAAATCTGTTATTCACACAAAAACTGGTGAAATACAGGAAAGAGGGAATAAGGAAGTCTGTGCTAACAGTGCCAACACTACTAATGCTTTAACATTAACTATACTTTTTTGAAAAATTTTCTCTTAGCTGAGTCCGTGAAAACAAATCACATTAGAAACTAATAGTAGTGAACAAACTAACGGCTCAAACGGCGATTAACCAGTTATACAATTAGGAAGAGACTGTTATTGCGTTTAGGGCTAAACCCTAACCGAGTGCCACATCCAGAGCCAGAGGTATGCTTCAGGACTCAGACAATCACTCGATTTAATGAATTAGAAATACATTCAAATAAATTATCAAAAACAAAAGTTGTGTATCGAAAGGCTATCATTAAGTTTTAATAGTATCTAGTGTTGAGTCATTGCAACCAAATTGTTGTTTGAAATTTTTGGAGTTTTCGGTAAACATTCGACGGATATATAACACAACTGTTGGATTTGACAACAAATCTCATTTAATAGGAAAATTCATGGAAACCACTGAATCAGTCCACCAAATATTTACTTATTAACTTTTATTTTGTAATCATTTGTTATGTATTTTGAACTCAAATACTGTTTATTCAGTCGACAGTCCAATCACATAAAGTTTTATTAAAACTTATATTGAGTTTACATTTTGCACCGAAACTTCCATTTAAGATGTGATCACATTTCAAGATTCAAGTCCTTTAAAGATTTATCAAATCTTCGACTTTTTAAAATCCAATGATATTTTGTTGGAGTTTTTATATATACAGTACAAAACGTATATCAAATTTTAGTTCAATTTTGAGTTTGTGAAGCTCCACAAAATCTTTTTATATACAGTATTAGAAAGAAATACCATTCATATAATTCTATTAACCATTAAATCAAAGCTCTATTCATTCAGATCTTTATTTTCTGCGAATTCCTCTCAATTGAAACTGATTTTAATCACTGAATCATATGATTCAACAAATTTGATATTTAATTAATTAAAATTTTCTGACTTTTAAAGCTTTGCATATCCATACAAAATAGACATCCCATACAGACTTTTTTGAGGAAACGATAACACATTAAAGTCAATGCATTTACTGTATGACTGATTAAAGACTAAAAACAGTTACTATTAAAGAATTAATACAAATAAAAAGATTCTTTGATTAGATTACTTATACAGCTGAAGCCATTAAATGACAATTAAATATGTATTAAAATTGTTAAAAACCGGTAATAGCTCAGGAATATACATCAATTAAAGGGACAAATTATAGCACTTATCTATCATAGCCCTGTGCTTAAAACAAATTTAATTAACGATTACACTCTTTTATATTTTACAGTTAATACCTTAATTTTGAATTTTTATACTGTACAGTATTATTATCAAGCAATCGGGTAGTAAATATATTAAATAATAAAAGTATACCCAACATTGTATAACACAATATTAATATCCGATATTATATTTGAACAGATTTTTTTGGATTTTTTTAAAGTTTAAAGAATATGGAAAAATGAATATAAGTTTGTGTTTATTTAGTGATCATATTTCTTAAGAGTTTAACATCTGTTATACAATAGCAATACATTTTATATCGATTCTGCACTAAATCGTAAGGTATTGAAATCAAAACATTTTTTAGTTCAAATATCGATATAATAATAACAAAAATAAAAGTAAATAATCTTTTAAAGTTAACTCTTATACTCTTAAAGTGAGAAGTAGAGTATATTCAGTGAATATAAGCAGAATTTGGGGAAAACTTATGAGTTTTCAAATTGTGTGAAACATTGAAGTTTATTCTCAGCTCTTATTCTGTGATATAAGACTTTATGAGAACATAAAAAATGAAAGTAAAGTAAAACTTTTGGCATAAAAAGAATTTTATCCCGAATTTTGTTTTGTAGACTTCTTTAGATGCGAAAAAGCGTGAAAATAAACACTAAATAAACGAGAGAGAGAGAGAGAGAGAGAGCGAGAGAGAGTTATAAAACGTAATCTATACTTATTTTTGTGCATGGATTAAAGTACAGCACCGGGTAAACTTACTCTGCATTCCATAGTTATGTGTCATATGGTATGTGCCATAATAGCATATATTGAATATACGGTATGGTATGTGTTGTAATACACACTAACTATCACAAGGATTGGATAGGAATGGCATTTGGCTCGTTAGTTAGTTTGTGACTGACTTTAGGCTTAATTCTACACTACATTACTGTTATATAAAACTCTTAGCAATTTTAGCTGTAGTTTTCGTTGCTCACTATACCCGAGTCTAATTTTAAGCCGAGACACTCTTTGAAATGTCTTTTCCTTAGAGAACCCATGAAAGCGATTGCAATATTGTTTTACATGAGTTTTTCACTAAACTTAAAGCTCTATTACTTTTAACAATCAATTATTATTTCGATGAAATGCCATTAATTTGAGTTTTCAGCTGAAAACTTTTAATTATTTATTTGCTTTCAATTAGCGCTTTCTAAACTAATTATGTACAATCCTATTTTTATTTGTCATTATTTTAATACATATCAAAATTTTTCATAATTAAGAACTCATTAATTTTTATGGCAACTAATTCATACAAACTTTAATTGAAATTTTCTTTCAAAAATCAATGAATATTTTAAGGGTTTTTATAATTAATATTTTTGTGAAAGTTATTGGAACAAGTGATTTCATATATTTTGTTGAGTTTTTTCGGTTTCTCTTATATTCTTCGGTTCAGCGATTAGATTCAAAAAAGTCGTTTCGATTAAAAAAGTTTTTGTTTTTAAATTGTTTTTGTCTTTTAGGAATTGTCTTAATCTGAGATAATATTCTTATATGAATGAAAAAGTGCAGTTTACAACCGACAAAATATGATACAATTTATGTTATGCTGTTGTTTGCAGAATTGCATTTATCAAAGTTGGAAAGTTGATATTCTCTCAAATTATTTATATTAAAAATTCTCATTTTTATAAATAAATTTCTGAATTACGATAATTATGCTAGTATACAAAATATACAGTACTCTATACTCTATAAATGAGTTTTCATTAAACAGGATTGCACTTTATATACAAATATTAGGCAAACAAATCCTATCAGACTCCGAGGCTATTCGTCTGATTATGTGAATATTCTGTGAATTTAAGGCAAAAGTTTAATTCTGTTTGATATTTGGTTGAGTGGAAGAGTAGTCAAATCTAATTGTTTGTCTATATTTCTAAATATACAGTTATACGATACGCTGTGGTATAGAAAGTAGTGACTTTTTTATTGGTGACTTAATGCACAGAACTGCACATAACTTATACATGTATTGATTTTTGTAAAAATTTAAGTTAATAGTCATGTAGTGCTCGCTCTAACATAAAAATATAATAAACTTTTCTATACATTATATTATTGTTTTGCTTACTGGAGAGAAATATTTTATATGTGATTCACAAACATTAAATCAATAATTTTTTTATGCAATTTGACTTTGTTTTTAAATCTATTAACGGAAATAAATTTTACTTTTCACCCAATCAATAGTTTTTATAAACAATTATTTAATACATTGAATGAAAAATGCAATTAAAGTATTTAATATACAGCATATACTGTACTGAATTTTAGTCAATACATTAGTTATTCATTTAATATGATTTGCATATTCATTGAACGAATAAATTTTTAAAGTCATAGTTATAAAAATAAGATAAAGCTCAAATGAATTTTATATATATTTAAAAAATTGTTGGTTTATATCTCAAAAATATAAAACAAAAAATAAACAGGTTATTCTTCTGCACGGTTTTGAATATTATATTTTGAATAGTTTTTGTTTGATTAAAACCCTACAATTGTAGTTATGGTTGTATTAAATATTTTAGATGCTTTACCTCTAATATGTTGGTAAAATATTTACTGAAATATTACTATTAAATGGGAAAATGTAACTGGAATTAATCAAAAATATTACAAATGCTTAATTTAAGCCTAACTTATAAATTAGTGAAAGTGATACTCAATTTCGGTAATGTATTGACTAATGATAATAGACTCGAAACACACGTCAAATAGGATAATATTAGATGAAATCTACGGCTTAATGTGGCGTTCATTGCCATTGAGATGAAGGCATAAATAAATGGATCCGAGAATTATCGTGAAGTGAGAGTCGGAGTGCATCTCATCTGTGATGTTCACCCTGTTTATAATGCGGTTCTTTCGCTGATTATCTTAAATAATTTAGTGATATTTACGATGACTTGACTCAACCAACGATTCACTTAATTTTAATGACTATATTCTCTCTCTTTTTCAAATGCATTCGCATGTGTCGTATGGATATCATGGATACTATGGATATCATGGATACTATATATCATGGATACTATGGGTGCAAAAGGCTCTGAACTGGAATCCATTCGCGCCTTATTTAACGAGAAGGAGAAGGAGCTGTCAGTGGCGTTGACTAAAGTGGATGCCCTCACCAGACAATTGGAGGAACTGAGCAAAGGAAATACAGCTAATAGTTATCATATTAACGGCATCTCAAATGCAAAGCATGGCATCGAATTGGAAAAGTTAAGACAAGAACTACTGGTGAGTGAACACTGAACTCCACTTTCAAACAAGAGTTTAAACTCTGTTTACGAGAATCCCGTTTAATATCCGTTTTGCCATCTCTGCAACAACCAGTCCTACCATTCAATTCACACTCAATTCAAACAAATAATTATTTCGTAATTCAAAGATAAGCCCTTTTCATAAGTACTGTATATTCTATCTAATCATTTAGTTTTCGTATAAATATTATAATATATGAATTTCACTTAATTTCATGTCATTTATTTTGTAATTCTATTCAACGTTTTAATAAATTTTTAGATTAAATCTAAAATTAATTATAGATTAAGAAAGTTTTAATATAATAGAAAGTTATCATGTTTAGATTTGTTTTGGAAAATAAGTCAACATTAAAAGTCCAATATTAAAGAGATCTAGACTGCAATTTTATTCACATTTCCCTTTTGATTCAATTTGGAAATTGAAAAATAAATCCACGTTTTGCTGAGTTTTTGGCAAAAATAAGCATTTATTTAGTTAAAGGTATTCCGTGATCTGTTTGCAAAACAAAATCCTGAATACATTGAAACAAACGTTTGCACACAATATATATACATATAATCGCGAATATATATTATATAAATATATGAAACGATTCCTTTATTTTCATGAATACCCAAACATAAAGTAAATAAAACACCAGACAATTCATGCAATTAATATTTGAAAGTATTTGCCAATCGTTTCCATTCAATGTCATAGAATTGAGAATAAGTTATATAAAAAAGAAGTTGTATTACGATATAAAGGAGAGAAGTTCACAACTAGTAGTGAATTAAAAAAGTATTCTTTGCTTCTAATGAGAAAACTATTTCTCATTAACCCTAAGAATGGACTGGAGTTCCCTAACAAGTTTTCCACTCGATATCACTTTTGGCAAAAAAAACTATCCAATTGTCAATAAAAGGTTTCCTTAATGACAGATATATTTCACAAAACAAGCCTTTCTTTTCGTGTAATAGAAGTAATGATTATTGCATTTTAATAACCTTTGGATTCATTTGTTTTTTGCAATGATTAGTATCGAAGCAAATTGAGTGAACAGAATGGACACGAATTAATGCTTAAAAGAGGTTTATTAACGCAAAGGCAGTCCGATATGGTTCGTGTGGACAAAAGGATCAGTGAATTGCAGCAAAGACTGGCCAGAAAGCGACAAATCAATGAACAATTATCATCACAAATGCATTCAAATCTAATTCGCGCCAATAATAATGGATTTGATGAGAATCAGCTTCATATTAATGGACTGCTTCGGAGCTCATGTCACAGGGGAGACAGGAGTAAAGTCAGTCAAACCATGAGACCATTGAGTGCTAACATTAATATCGCTGCCGTCGAGCCAGTACTCAGGGAACAGACACAGAGAATCAATGAGGTATACCCTTCATACTTGTGATTACTTTTTATTGTAGACATTCAAACAAATGGCAAATTAAATCATTAGACAATACATAGCACTTGTTTAGAGAGAATCTCGTTTAATACTTTGATCTATATTTATATACAGTTTGATCCGCACATTAACGCCAATAAAGACTTTATGGGCTGCAAACAGGACCATAAGTACCAAACCCTACCATATAATACAAAGTTTGGAGTGAGACAACAACCACATTATCAACTGTACGGCCAGAGTTTGGTCTCCAATCAGTTGTGTGTCTCGACTCCAGACAGCGATAGAATTCATTGCGAGCTCACGGATGAGACAAATAACGATAACAACAGTAATAATCACAACAATGTTTCCATTATTACAAACATTAATAACATAAACAGTAATAATAATCCAAAAGTTGAGACAAACGCCAAGAATTCAGTGTTAGAGGAGAGACCGTCGCCATCGGGAAGCAGTGGCTCTTCGGATCGGGCGTCCATTCCTCACAATCACAACGGAATGACTGCCTATAAGTTGCAACAAATGCACAATTCTGTCAATAACTGCAACTCAGCCCAACATCCCTATCAAAATGTCAATCCAAAGATGTATAACGCGTCTAATTATATGGAGCCCAACACTAACTCATACAATAATAATAAGCAAGGGAAACACAACCAAATGATTACTAATAATAATAACCAAAATTTAATATCAACCCATAAAATACAAAGCAATTTAATGAATTCAAACCAAAGTGTCATTCAAAGCCAATGTGTGCCAACAAATACCCCGAATACAACTCAGTCACATACAGCTAATAATGCTTCAAAAGTGCCACTAACTAAACCCAAACCCATTGTACCCCCAAAGCCATCCGTACCCGTGAAACCCACTCCACCGCCCCGTCAAACACCAAATCATTCACTTAGTGCTCAAACCCATAACGAATCACAGGATATGAATGCCTTCACAACTAACATGAGATATATTAATAAGAAATCGCCCAATCATTTGACCAATTCTAGTAACGCACCCATAAATACATCTAATACTGGATACAATAGGTATGTATGACTGCATAACAAAATCGATATTGTTTTGTCTTTTTACTCTATTTTTAATCTTATTTATATTATACAAAAGACATCATTTCTAAAACAATAGAAAAGTTTTGTTCACAACAGGGATCTTGATTTTTGTAGATAAGAATCTCTCATTTGTTTTGTTTAGTAAATTTTAATTAACTATTTTTTTCATTGAATTGTTTTTCATATTTCAAGCAAAAGCTATATTTAGTTGTGCAGCTATTATTCTGACTATACAATAACATTGGTTTGAATTACATAGTACAGTGCAGTACTGTATTATTCATACATTGAATTGGCGAGTGATGACCATTTGTTAAAACAGTATTTAATTTCTATGTTAGTCTTGTTTTTGTTTTAACTTGAGTTGACTTAATATAATAACAAATAAATTGTTTGTCACAACTGATTAAATTTGAAGATTGAAAGCTCTCTACGATTATAAATTGAGATAAAGTCGGAAAAAATGCAGTTTTGTTCGCAAAATTCAATCATTTATTTCCTCTCTATTATCGATCAATCATTTGTTGAGTATTTTTTGTGGAAAAGTAATATTAATACCTATTTTATACCAAATTTAATCACTTGTGAACGAAAGAGTGGTTTTAATGTATTATATTATAGCTTTTCATCAATTTTAAGTCAATTCCTATGTTTTAAAAACAATTTTCTAATAATGTTTTTTATGACACTTTCATATATTACATAAAAACGGCAAAATGAAAACATTTATTAGACTTTAAATTATGATTTTATATACACTTTAATCTTAAGGAATTGGCGTTTTATATAAGGATTTAACTTAAAAATGATTTATAATTTTGGATGTGATGTCTAAAAATGTCTATCAAAAGCACTATAACAGTAACTCATATAACGATTGCTTACGATGTTATTAGGCTTCCTCTTACATCTCTGGCCATTCAAAAGACATATAACACTATCAATAGTAAGACTGGATTAATGATTCAACAGCTGCCACACCATTGCCAACAACAGCACCAATTGATCCATCATTCCTATGAGGATAAGACCAGCAAAACGACTCCAATCCGTAATACTAGTGAACCATCGCATCAGTTATCACAAGCCAACGAGACAACAGACGGTTCCCATTTGAATGGCCCCACCAGTGCTACCAGTGCTCTGGCATTAGATATGATGTCATCGACATCTTCGCTCTCTTCTTCATTATCGTCTCAAAACAATGTAAACAATTGTGACACGAAATTAATGATAAGCACAAAGAATGGCAATATAAGTAATATAACCGATAATTGCAATTCATTACAACCCAAGAGTGAGGGCAGAGACAGTACTTACGGCTCAATCAAAACTAATGGCATTAATAATAATCATAAAAGTCTTGTTACGACTCTCGCAAACATATCATCCATTAATACCATTAATAATAATAACTTATCCAATGATTGGCATAAAGATAAAAGACGTCCAGTTGTGGCCAATAACGAGATGGAGCAGCAATTGGCTCTTCAAGTGTCAGCTGAGACTAAGAAATCAATTGACTTCGAGTCCACCCATACAGTAGTATCGCAAACACAGTCCGACGTCAAGTCTATTCCTCAGCCATTGTCTGATTGTATTAAAGATAATTCACACCAATTGAATGCGAATATAAACAAAATTCAATCCGATTTAACGCAAACAAAATCTGATAAAAGTGTCGACAAAGACAGTGAAAGTGATATAAATCTAATCAAAGAGCAGCCGTCGAAGGAACTAAAGACTGAGGCCGAGGATGAGACCACTCGCCAGGGATTTGAGTTTAATTTGATGATTGAGAGCAACAATAAGAAAGACAATTATTGCGATCAGAGCGCGGATTCGGAGCTCAATGTTTTGCCAAACCATAAGAGTATAGTGGGCTCTAAGCGAGTGAAAGGAAATCTGAAGTGTCAACAACTGAATGATAACGAGGACCACAAGAACACATCCAATGGGAAGCATCCAGTGGTGAGCAGACGAGTCAGTTTTGATCCGCTCGCCCTTCTCTTGGATGCCGCTCTGGAGGGAGAGCTCGAACTCGTCAAGAGAACTGCCAAAGAAGTGAGTTCTTCCTGTCCCTCATATTTCTTATTTACGGC